CAGTGCTCTCATGGCCACTGGGCTCTGGATAAAAAGTGAGGTCCTGGATGCTCACATTCTCCAGCGTGTTCTTTCTTTTAACTATGTCCGTGGAGGTTGCAATTTGCTTACACCGCTTTTCCCACTCTGACCAGCTCAGTGGTTTACATATCACTTTTCCTCTATTCGAATCAGCGAAATCTCATAGAGATAAAAAAATTAGAAGTCTTCTTTCTGTAACCTAACTTTGCTGTTTCAGATGTTGTCTTCTGTTATTATCTTGATTCTTCCTCTTTTTATTTTGATTATAGCATTTCACGGAAATCTGGGTTTGTTGCGGCTGGCAGCCTAGTTTGATACATACACTTCATCCAATTCATGTGTACTTCAGCTAAGAGACTTCTATTTATGATGCTTAAACATTCCACAGTATTTCCCAGATCTTTCCACCAGCTCCCAATGTATGATATGCCGTATTTCCAGGAAATGTATTAATGTACCAATTCATCCACCTCTTCTTTTATATTTTTTTTTTTTTTTTTACTTTTTTCCTGGTTCTCTTTGAACACCCATTTCGTGGTACTTAATGCCTTCTGTCTTAAATTCTGACCCCTAATATGGACAAGGAGAAAATATACCTCCTGTAGGCCTGGTGAAGAAATCTACCTTCATTAAGATTTCTATTCAAGACATTTATTTTCCAAAGACTTTCTACTACCATTTAAATACAGTATTTGGAAAAAGCTAGGATTAACTGTATGGTACCATCAGTTAATTTGCAAATGCTTTGCTTCTCTGTCCTATGATCCCATGAGGGACCATTGGGCCCTCAGTTTATTCCTGTATCTGGTTTTCTTTTTTTCTTCTTCTGTAGGTGTGTGGTGGGTGGGGAAGAGTTGAGACTATGACTTCAGAGGAGGATATTGTTGGATTAGTGTAGACGGATGTTACTACATAGACATGGTGTTGAGAAATCCATTATATTACTCATGATCCCTAGTAGTTTCAGATACAAATTCCTTCTTTCTCCCAGCATTTATTATTTTGGTTATTAATACTAAATTGAACCTTTTCTCCTAGGTCAAAATTTTGGATAATTTCTTCTTGTTATGCATCTTTATCTTATTTTTAAAAAATTCGTATTTATTTATTTATTTTAGAGAGGGAGTGGGGGAGGGGCAGAGGGAGAGAGAGAATCTTAAGCTCGATCTCACAACCCTGAGTTCATGACCTGAGCCGAAATCAAGAGTTGGCCACCTAACCGACTGAGCAACCCAGGCGCCCCCGGTTATTCATCTTTAGACAAAGTTACAGGATGTACAAATGAACCCACCATTACAGAATCATTACATTTTAGGATTGGAAAAAAGTGCCAAGTATTGCCAGCCATCTGTTTATAGTCCTCTGTGTAATTGTATGGTCTGTTAGGTTTGCTGCTTTGGTCACCAGCTCAACAGAATACATCTTCTAAAAAAACCAAAACAGCAGAAGCTTTTCAATTTGTTTGTTTGCTTGTCTTCAAGTGTAGCCCTTGACCACAGAGAATTCAGTATGGCATGCCAGAATCAGATTTATAAAGGTGGTGTTTTATTTATATGCATGTACTTTATAAGTTCAGAGCTGTCACCTCTTCTCACTGTCAAATCAAATGGTGAGAATACTTAGATTATTTTTCAGGAAATGATACTTCAGAATGGGAGGTATGGGTGGCAAGTGAAGTTTCGTTAGTATCCAAATAGAAATGATTTTTGCCTGGCGTGGACGAACTTCACATGCCCATAGAGAAGGAGTTACAAACCACCCCCCTCCCCGCCCCCTGCGCCCACCACAGTTCACTTGGCCATCTCAGGATGCTGTTTAATTTAAAATTCTGCTTAGTTTTAAAATTATGTTTACTTAAAAAATTCTGTTTACTTTTTAATTAACCAGAAATAGGCAGGAGCAGGTTATTCCCCAATGTCTGCCCCCAAACGGAGTTAGTCTGTAGCACAGCAGGGTCTCAATGGGCCAAACTTCCTGTAACACATTTGAGAGCAGATTTTAATTACTGCTTTAAAGTAGTTAAAATAGATATGTAACATTTTTGAATTAAACATTGCAGAACTCCTGAAAATCTCTGTGAAACTTTATTCCACAGAATGTATTTAGGAAAAAACCCATGTGTCCTGTTCTTATTTTAGCTTTAAAGTATAGCAATGCATAGTTTCTACCTTTGGAAGTCCGGTGAAATTCAGCTGTCCAAGACTGACGTGCAAATATTCCAGAACACACCGAAGTTGTCTGCCCAGCTTCCGTGGGTGGAGCACAGCTCAGAGGTAGCCCCCAAAGGGTGCGGCTGCCACCAAGGCTGTGACTCCAGGGTGCGGAGACGGAGAAACCTTGCGGGCTACGGCCTCCTCCCTTGAATCAACACTAGTTTTGACCAACGTTTTAAACAAACTTGACTGTCTAGTTTCTGAGTCTGGATTAGAAGGTGGGAGCCAGAGGGGATGAAGACCATGCAAGGCCGAGTGTTGTGGGAGAAGTGATCTCTCGACACCCCAGAAATCGGGCACGCACCATGATTTCCTATGATCTAGGCCATCCCAACCGTGGTAGACTTTGAAAGCACTACTGCTTTACATCGTGATTTGTTAATATCTATGAAGCTGACCCTCAGGTATGATGAAAACATTTAAATTAGGTTTGTAGATGCTCTAGGAGGGTAGGAAAATTATGTAAAATTTTCGAAGGATGTCGATTAAAATAGTTCAAATGCATCCAGCAGTGGTGGGGTTTTAACTTCAGTTAAATGAAGACTTTACTTATATAGGACGTTTAATTCCTGAAGGATGCTGGGAAAATGAGGCAATGATGTACATTCCCTATTGTGAGTCTCACCCCACAGTGCTACAAAATGTCTTTAATCCTGATTTCAGAAGTGCTAGGGTAACTGTTGCAAGGACGTACAGAGTTTGTTTGCACTGACAAGAGCTGACTCCATCAGCCTTCTCACGGGAAGCCAGGAATAGGATGCTGGAAAGAAGCCTCTACAAGGAGAGTGAGGTGGAGAACACTTGGGAGAAACCACAGGAAGAGGCACAGTGTGGACATCACCAACGAGAGGGGCTAGGGAGGGAGGCGGCTCTTTGAGGGACAGCTGTCAGCGCGATGATAGAGTCTCGGCAGCTAGACATACACTTTCTGCGCCGGCTGAGCGTGGGGAGGGGGCAGCCATGAACCAGTGTTTGTACCTTTCCCCACACAGAGGGAGCGGATACTCTCACTTCATCATTAGGAGGGCCTGTGTGTGACCCTCTATCACACAGCATGGTGAAGCTTTACTATGGCTTGACCGTGTGCTATGGTCATATGGCTCATTCTTCTCTCCCCCTCTCTCCTACCTTTCTTCCTTCTTTTCTTCCTTCCACACATATTACTGAAGTCATATTATGAGCCAGACACTGGTAGGTGCTGAATGTGCTCTGACGAGAGACAAGACGGCCTGTTCTTGCTGACACAGAACTTTCCTTGTACTGTGAGACAGGGACGTGTCAATAGGAGCATGCAGATGAATATAAGAATTACAATGGGAAGGAAAGTACATTCCAGGGCACACTGGGGAGGCCAGGAGGGCTTCCTGGAGAAAGTGAGGTCTAAGGCAAGACCTAGGCAATGAAGAGGAGTCAGCCAGAGAAGCGGGGTGTGAGGAGGGGTGAGTGTTCTGGGCCAGGAGAGCAGTGTGTGGGGGAAGAGGGGGGAAAGACAAGGGTGAGCTCCATGGGTGGAGCATGGCGAGTGAGCAGGATGACTATAGAGGGTGATTGTGAGGCCTCTACAAGGAGGCTGGACTTTATTCTCAGATCACTGGGAAGACATTGAACAGTGGTACTCAGAGGAGTAATGTAATCAGATTGGCATTTTAAAATGCCTGCTTTGGCAATTTGGCTTGGAAGGGCAAAACTGGCAAGTGTTATAGCTACCTGAAAGGAAAATGTGGCTTATCATGAAAAATGCAGTGGAGAGGGAAATGTAAATATACCCGAGGCGTGTTTAGATAAAATCAATAGACTTGGCAATTGATTGATTCAATGTGTGAGGAGGCAAGATTATCCCCTGGTTTCTGACTTGGGCAACTGGGCACTAATAAATGCAACAGTGAATAAGAGGGAGGAACTTGTCTTGGGGATGGGGTGGGATATTGGACAGTTGAGTTTCAGACTGGTTGAGTTTATGGTGGGTATGGAACATACCCGAGTGGAAATGCCAGTGAATCTGAGGTCCAGGAGAACATGCTGGGCTAGATTTGGGAGTAATCAGCATATATGCAGAGATCACCCACAGCTCTGAGAATCAATGAATTCACCCAGGTGATCACCCCGATGTAGACTGAGAAGAGAAGAAGCTGTGTTAGAACCTCAAAGGGGGATGGGCAGACAGAGAGGAACCCACAGGGGACAGAGAAGGGACAGCCAGAAGGGGAGAAGCCAGGCTGAGAGTGTGTGGTGACGTAGAAACCAAGAGAAAGGACGTTTCTAGATGGAAAAGCAGTCCAGCGAGAGGAACACAAAAAGATGTTGCATGTGTCCACAGGAAGTTATTACGGCTTTGACCAGAGAAACTTCTGGAAGCAGGAGCTAGAAGCCAGAATGCATGGTGTTGAAGAGAGAGCTGGAGAGGAGATGAGCAGGGGCAGTGAGTTTAGGCCTCTTTGAAGGAGAGAAGAGAGTCTAGCTCCACAGGCTAGAATAGTGTGTGGTTGGAGGGAGAGGTAGTAAAAGTTAGGAGAGCCCTGAGCATGCTTGGATGCTGTTGGCAAGCAGTGAATAGAGAAGCTGAGGTTGAAATTTTGGGAGGTAGTGGGGTAACTGGTGATAGAGGGTCATGAGAATGGAGGAGGGGAGGGGACCCAGAATAATGATCCAGAGATGGCCCTAGCCATGCGGAGAGACACCTCTTTCCACTGTGATGGGAGGGAAGGATAAAGCATCGCTTTGCAACATAATGTTTTAATTACGTTCTTTTAAAAAATGTCTCCACAGACACTACCCAAAGCAGTCCTTCACTACCGTGGCAGATACGCCTGAAAACCTTCGCCTGAAACAGCAAAGTGAATTGCAGAGTCAGGTAACTTCTCGAAAGCCTATTTTCGTTTCGTCGGTACTAACTAGAAGTCACGAGGCCAGTCCTCTGAGATCTCATCCTTGTCCGGTTTCTGCCCGGTCCCCGGCGGGGGTGGAGCCTGAAGGCAGCCGCGGGAGGGCGTTCTCTGTGAAAGCACAGCACATCTGTTTTATTCCTGGGCTCGGATCATCCTGACATTCCCGGTTCTGTTATTCACGTGGGACTAGGGCAACTAAATGAGTTCTGGTCAGAGTAAGTGTTTCCCAACAATATTGATTTATTTGGTCCTAAATATTTAAAAACATTTTATAAATAGCTTTTCCACACCGCATATGTAGGGGAAAGAAGAGGTGTTAACTTGACCCAGTTGTAGCGCGTGTGGCGCTGACACCCTGTCTGTGTATCTCACACCAGCCACGAGCTTTGTTTTCATCCTGTCACTTTATTCATATTTCTTTCATATGTCACACTGACAGCATGAACAAAGATTAGAACACCACAGTTGGCTCCCACTCAACCATTTTGGATGAGAACTTGCCTTCAATATGGTGAAACACACTGGTGAAGACTAGGGATTTAAATGGCAATATTTTCTGCAGGGACACCCCATCTCTTAAGAGACACAGGGCTCTCTCTTTCAGAGAAGTTATCTTGCCTGCCACACAGTGGGAATACGACGAACGACTACATTGCAGCCCTTTGGTCAACCGTGGAGTAAAACCCCACCAAGGAGGGGCGAGGGAAGGCTGATTCAGGGTCCCCCTTCTGCTGCTCATGGGTTGGGACCTGGGGCCAGCCCCTCTGATTCTTTATGCTTCTGGAAAATGAGACCGTCTATGTTATCTGGTCTACCTATCTTGGGTGGGGAGGTGTGAAAGCATTTTGAAAGCTAACAGATTGTATGACTCTGAAGGCTTTTTAGTTTTACTAGGGTCCCTGAAAATCCTTGATATGAAAAAAAGAGAATTGCAGAATCTGCAAAGGAAAGAGGAACCTGGCTAATAGGCTTTGCAAATGCTAGTTGTAGCGGATCTCATTATTTCTGTGCAAGCTGATGTGTTCACAGGGGACATTGTGGTTCCCTCCACCCTCTTTCTGGGGGTCTTGGGACCATTTCCCAATCCATTTAGTTGAAGGAAGTAGAACTCAAAGTAGAGTTTGCTGTCGGTTAACAACACCATGAAGACTTGGTTGGCAGTTAGCTTTTGGTTTTGTAAAATGCTAATTCTTGTGTGCTAAGCCATTAGTTCAAAAAATTGAGTGCTGGCCAAGGAGAGGCAGTGTTGCAGAGCCGACAAGAACACCCCTGCTCATTCACACCGTGGAGGGTGCCAGGACTTGGCTCCAGCCTGTGCAGATCCAATATGCCTTTCTTCTCATCAAGTTAGGATTAATTAGATAATTCTGGAGAAGTACTTCGAGCACATTGGAAAACAGACCTAAATCAAGCGATCAAATATTTGTTTCCTGCCTATTACATGTCCTTGTTCTGTGCAAAAGAATTCATAATTAGTTGAGCTTCCCTTCACTGAGCTCATAGGGTGTGTGAGGAAACAAGACTAACATAACCTTACCTCCCCCCACACCCCCGGACGGCGCTCTTTCATTTACAATAAGGATCCCAAAAGGGAGGGATGAGTGTGGGTTGGACTGGTCAGTGGTTCCTCCTAGAGGTGGATTTGAGTGGAGTCTTGAAGGTTGAGAACGGATTGGATTTAAACACTTGTCTCCTTCCTTGGAAGGCATACCGCTCCCTTTGGGTTCAATTAGTGGTGACAGGTGCCTTGAGCTGGGACCAGGAACAGGCATTTACTGTTTTCCTCCCGCGTGTGGGCCTGGCTGTGGAAATGCAAAGAGAAAGGGAACTCACTGTTTTACAAAGGGCTGATTTTATTCTCTGTCACGGAGCAGCTTGCAAGCTTCAGAAGGTGCTGATCGGCTGGTGGGACAGAGCTGATGCAGGACGGCACAAAGTGCCGTGGGGTCTCCAAGCAGTGGTCGGGTGAAGGCATCGGATCCTCCTCCAGATTTTGTTCCAGTGTCATCTCTAGAAAGAAATGTAGGGCTTCTTCAGACAGATAGTATGGGGAAATTCAACTCAATTGGAGAAACACGTATTGACTATGTACCCTTGCAATGAACTGTGCAGGGAACTGAGGATATCAAGGTGTCATCATCATCATCATCAATCTTGCTATATTCTGGGCACAGAATTTTACACGTATTTTTCCATTTAATCTCAAACAGCCCTGTGAGACACGTATTTATGATTATTATCCCTATTTATTTTATTTTTAAGAGATTTTATTTATTAGAGAGAGAGGGAGAGAGCACCAGTGGGGAAGGAGGGGGAGAGGGAGAAGCAGACTCCCCACTGAGCAGCATGCCCAACACAGGCTCCATCCCATGATCCTGAGATCACAACCTGAGCCGAAGGCAGACGCTTAACCGACTGAGCCACCCAGGCGCCCCAGTTATCCTTATTTAAATGAAGCACTCAACCTTTAGAGACTTTAGATGACTTGTCCTTGCAAACTTAGTAAGGAGTTGAACTTGGAATAGAACCGACATCTGTGAACCCTCATTACCCACACTCTTAACCAGTGCTCTGGTCCCTTGATTCAGAAGGCACCTGGAAAAGGAGATCCATAAGCAAATAGTTGTAGTGCAAGGTTATAGTGCAGTGTATGCAAAGGTAGAATTTTGCATAAAGTATGAAAGTCACTCCTGTGAAGAAGTCCTTCTCCTCCTCTTCCTCATTATTATTAGCAGTGGTATTTTTCTGGGTGACAGATGAAAACACTTCTATAAGAGCATTTCTGGTTTTGCAAAGGCATAGAAAGGTATCTACCCAAATGGTAATATTCATTAATGGCAATTGATTTAATTTTAGCGTTTTAAATAACTTGGTTCTGTGGCAGAGCAGTACCTTAGTGTTTTGACATCAAGAAATCTGAACAGCCCAAAAGTTTTGGTGGAAAATCAACTATTAACATTTTATTTACTTATTTGTAATAATTCGTGATACCAAATGAGTCAAATCTGCTCCTAAGTTTGGAGATTCTGAAATCCTCTTTTAGCATTGTTTGGTTAAAGCTAGTTCTTTTCTTTCAGTTCATTAGCTTGTCAAATGAGCCAAAATGAAGGAAAAACAAAAACCAAATTGTGGTTCAACCTAAAAAGTTATTTATAGATACACATTGTTATGTTCTCCTTTTTCTTCCTTTATCTTTTTTCCCCCCCTGTCTTTTAGAGAGGGTTGTAAACACTGCCAGAATTTTTTTCCCCTAAGTGTTAAACCCTCTCAAGCTTTTTTTGGGGATTTATATTAGGTGTCAGATTGTCATAATAAAATGGTGAGAAATATTGGAAAATAAACAAGCAAACCATGAGTTAGTTTTTTCGAGCTGGTGGTAGGCAGTGGTTTCCAGGCATTCTCCCGCCTACAAACAACAGGTGCACGCCTGCTTGGCCAGCCACCAGCTGCGGTGGGACAGGGACTGCCCTGGCACCGGGCAGTTGAGCTGGGGGGGGTGGGATTAGGGGGGAAGCACCCCGTTGTCACTAACTCTCTCTTCATCACTATCACGGATGGACTGCTTCACAGAAACAGTGTAAATAGTGGTTGGGCGCCCCCACTGGCCCACAGTAGCCCACTCTACAAGGAGCAAAAGTAAAACTCGACTCCTAGTGGCATTTAGTAACATTAGAGTTCACCTGTGGGGCATCAGGCTGTCACTGCTGCAAGCCTGGGGACCGGTGTAATGTCCTCTTTTTGTAGGAAAGTGAGCCGGGAGTTCCAAAGCCCTGCCTTACAAACTAAACTGGAACACGAACTCTTTGTAGGCTGGGGAATCCCTAAAGTTTAAACATTTGAGTGACATGAAAAGCCCCTTAGGAGAAACATTTTCTTGATGTATTATTTTAATACCATGCTGTTGCAAACGTTTCCTTTTTCAGGCTGTGTAGCATACTCTTTCTGGAAGTAAAGGCACAGCTGTTTTGAGTGCCTGGATCAGGGGTGTGCAGACTTCTTAAAGCGGTGGCATGATGAGGGGAAGGCCTCTGTAAAAGGAGAACTAAGTGGGATAATTGAGGCCAACACAAGGGGCGGCCATACCCCTGTTTGCTCCCCGTCCGTGTGCTTCTCGTCTCCCTGCTCCCAGGGCCAGGGGGTGACTGTCTTCGGAAACCCTGGCCCTCTGTAGGGCAGAGTTCTGTGAAATACTGCTCATGGCGAGGACGCAATGTTAACTGCATCCCCACTTAGTTGTTTATGTGATTGGCTTAGCTGTTTGCAATCATGCTGAAAATAATAGAGACTTTGGGCTCACTGTGTTCTTAAATGGAGTGTGTGTAATTTATGAGTGCTGATAAGATGAAAGATGGAAAATGATTATGGAGAGAATACAAATCATCCTGCAACCTTTGAGTCTTCATTTTGTAATCTGCGCTGATTCTTTTTTAATCTTCCGTGTCTCTGTGGAGGCATAAAACACATGGTTCACAGGGAATACAATCTAGGATAGCAGGAAGTGTGAGGAAGGAACGTGGTTTTTTATAGGGAACATAATCGTTAGACGTCTTTGTGGGGCATATGAAGACACGTGTTTAATATAAACCTCTGGAAGCTCAAGGAGGTCAGGCTGTGGCATGCTCTCTCGTTCTCCAGCTTGCCCTTGGCACTTTTCTGCACCTCCTCATTCTATGGGTGCATTTCTGGAGGATACTTCTCTCAGTTATCTGCCATCTAGCCATCCGGTAAGGTATTAACTACCTACCTAAAGCATGTTGCGTTAGGTAGACTTTGAAGGAAGACTGACTTCCTTCAAAGCAATGAAACTCTGACTCGGGAACTGTTGGAAAGACAGTTGGGGAGATACTTGGATAGCATCCTCTGCGTGCTTCAGATCCCATCCCGAGGGCCCCCACCCAGCCGTAAATCTGACCTACATGTCACCTGCCCACAGAGCACCAATCTCAGCCCACACTGGGGACACCGTAGTGAGCAAAACCCAGGTAAAGTCCTCACTCTCTGGGGATTTGTGGTTTAGTTGGGGAGAGGATGGTAATAAAAAATTAATAAAAAATAGGTAACATTGCAGTTGTGACAAGATCTGCAGAGAGAGCGGTATGGGTTTTAATTATGTTTTAAAACATTTTCAGGGAGTTGGAGGCCTGAGTACTTTTCTGCAGACAAATGAGTAACTAGGTCTCAGTCGGGTTGGCTGCCTCCCGCCCGGCTGTGGATTCCATTTCTAAATGCCCACCAATTTCTTGGTTTCCACTTCCTGAACTTAGCTGACTCTCCTTTGCTCTTCCCTGGGTCCTCTTCCCACTCCTTATCTCATCCGATAACCTCAACCTTCTAAAACTATCTCCAGGTAGTTTTTGTTGGGAATTCTTGTATTCTTGGGCGAGAAGCCTTCCACATGTGCATTTTTATTTTCTCTTTTCTTTGAACCCAATTTTGGCAGCTTTATAGTTCCCATCTTCTGATTTTGCACCATTCTGATCCTATGGCGATGCTTTTTACTTCCTGCGATAAGCACTTTCTCATGTATGTGAGGGTGAAAGTTCATGGAGAGAAGCTTCGACATGTTTCTTAGCAGGGCTTCGAGGCTGCGAAAATGATGAGAGATATGTTTCCCATATAGGGAGGGATGAATGGGAGTAAGAACTTCAAAGGAGAAATATTAATTCACTTGATGTGGCACATTTCTTCCAGGGAACATAGCATGCTGTGCAGATGTCAACTCTAACCCTCATGATTTCCCACAAGTCAGATTGTTTTTTATCTTGCTTTTGGATAAAATGATGTAAGAGACAAAAACGTCAGTTGTGACAGACAGCAAAATAACCAAGATGTTTTGATTTGCTGTGTCATGAGGGGGTTTTAGAGCTTTTCTTCACAGGGGCCTGGCCTTCTACTCCTCAGCCTCCGGAAAGGACCCATATTCTTTCCATCTGGTCCCGGGCTCCCAGCATACTGGTTCTTTGGTGCCTTCCTGGCTCATCTTGTCTCCCTTTCCATCATTCCCACAGCTCATGGTGGAGGATGTGAGTCCTGTACTTGGGGTGGCCAGCCTACAGGTTATTTGTTATTATTCTGTGGGCCTGAATCAGATGACTGGTCCTTCAATGAGGCATTTGAATATGTAGGCTATCAAAGTTGTGGCTCTGGGATCATGACCATAACAGCTATGATGAGGAGACTCTTTTAACACTCTTCAATGAATGTGTCTTTCATCTTTCTCTTCTATAAATCATGTTCTGCCATACCACGTCACATTTATGGCTCTAGAGGAAGGTGATGAGTAAACTCCACTTTGAGAAGGATAAAATATGGTCCCCATGCAAAGAGGGCGGTCCATCCCTTTTTGGCCGCGGTAGATTGGAAGAAGAAGGCAGAAAAATCAGTTGGAAACATGAGCCCCCTTTCTCTTCTGACTGAAGTCCCCAAGAGGAGAGGTGGGGAGGCATGGTAGGGGGATGGAGAGCCAGACGCAGAGAAGACCACCCCACAAGACATACTCCAGACTTCTTCCCACCTGAACAGTGAGCCTCCACAGCATGGTAGGCATGGAGAGAACCTGAATTGTGTTTCCTAGCACCTCAGTGTCTCATGTGGCATGGAAGGTGATGGAAGTCCCAGCTCGTCTTGCAGAGGAATGCCGAGGGTACTTGCTGGGAAGCTGCCACTAGAACAACGTGTCCCTGTAGCCAAGGGTAGCTTATGCAGGTGGGGAGAAGTCATAGATCTCAGCGAGGAAGGACGGATTTGACAGGCAGTACTGCCAGGCTTTTTCTGAGCCAGGGGGAGAATACACCATGATGTCACCAGCCACAGCCTTCAGCGGAGGGCGCTAGTGATCAGGCGGAAAAGGAGATACCCCTGAGGCGAAAGCGAGAAGAGAGAAAGAGCGAATGTGAAAGTGGATTCAAGACTTCCCTCTTCCTTCACTCCTTGCTCACACACGCTTGAATGCCATATTGGAGCGGAGACAGGAAGCAGGAGAAAATCTCAATATACCTAAGTTATTTAAATCATCGAATGGATTTGCTTTAATGGCTGCGACTAAAGTTAGTTCCTTCCACTTTAGTGTGATGGGTACTTGTGAGGAATAGCAGAGCAGCTGTGGGAAATAGACATTTATTTTGCATCTGAATACATTGTAAGTAAATTGCTAACCTTTGGTTTTATTTGGTAAAATAGAGCACTAGGCCTGCCATTAAAAGATCTCGGTTCGAGTCCTGCATCTGCCACCAAGTGTGACTTAGGTACCCTTGACCTTTGATCTTTTCAGGACATAACATAATGGGTTGTACTAGATGATTTTTAGAATTCCCTCCAGTTATAATGATCTTGACTGTAGTACAAAAATGTTCTGCAGTAACATCTCAGGTTAGCAAAGATTAAAAGAACTTAAAGAAAAGGAATTGCCATTCTTTTTTTGTCTGACAAAATAATAATTGTCAGACCTTCCCTTTCATTTGACTATTCCTCTAAAAGCTTGTTCTCCAGACTAATCTCAGATACTCGTTGAAGGTCATAGGTCTGAGAAAGTTGATGCGCAAATCAGTTTCACGTTGGAAGATATGTCTAATTTTGCACCAAACATGTTTAAAGATAGCAGAAGACAAAAGAAGGCAAAAATAGCTACAGTCATAATATCCATCCACTGATAGCAACTAGTCTCATCTTTAGTTCTATTTCTCAAATTTTCTATATAGAAGTAACTAGAATAACTGTACATATTAGTATACTTTTAGGAAGTGTCTTAGTTATTTTAGCTCACTTTCTTTATGCTTTCTTATTTTAAATTGTTTTCTTGAATGGCTTTGATTGATTATGTGGTAGCTTTTGGACTTTAACCATTAGTGTTTTCTCCCTACAGTGTTATTTGTTTTTTACCACCTCCTTGTCCTTTCTAGAAGCCATTTGTTCCACTGAGCCTTACCATCTTGAGTTGTTCAAGCAGTCGCTCCAGGGTTAAAGATGGTGCTGCTCAGGACAGAGAGGCTCATCTAAAGCAGTCCCATTTTCATTCAATTAGTAGCTTCATGAGATTGAATATTTCTCAATACTCTTAATTATTAATATGTTTTTTCCCTAATCATGTATTTTTGAATGGAGGATGCTGCTGTAAAATCACTGCTTCGTCATGGAACCATGCAACAGAACCAAATCTGTAGTCCGGTATTGGATTCAGAAGAGGTTTCTTGATGCCTGGGTGACTCAGTCGGTTGGGAGTCTGCCTTCGGCTCAGGTCATGATCCTGGGGTCCCGGGATCGAGCCCCACATTGGGATCCTTGCTCCGCGGGGAGTCTGCTTCTCCCTCTCCCTCTGCCCCTGCTCATGTACACGCTCTCTCTATCTCAAATAAATAAATAAAATCTAAAAAAAACCCCAAAACCTCTTGATGGCAGCCAGCAGCACACAGTAGACTTTCTTGGTGCACCTAGTGTTTTGACTCTCATAAAGTACTTGTGTTTTCTTTTATCAAAAATTATTTGGCTTAGTTATCATTTCACTTTATCTCAGAACTTCGCTTCTAGCTTCCACTGACTTCAGAAGGGCTGCCCACTGGGATTCTGCAGGGGCCTTGTAAACATGGAAATTTGGCCTGCTGAATGCTGTGCAGAAGGAGGACTCTGTTGGCTTCATTCTTTTAAAAAGCTCCTATTTGGAACAATCATTGTGTTGTATTCTCAAATGAGATCTCTACTTGCGCTTCTGAGAACATTGATTGTGTTCTTTTAATGGAGTGTTTCTCATCCCCAAATGTCTGAAGAGAACAATTCGAATTTCCCTCCCTTCCTGCACCCCTCCCTGCCTCTCTTTTGATTTTTGAAGTCAAGGGTCAAGATGATGGTAAGTCAGAAATTAAATGAACACGAATTTGCTCCTAACTAGAAGGGAAGTTTTGGCCTCCCTTTGACTGACACACTGAGTTTCTATTTATGTGGAATTGTTTTTACTTCAAGGGGATCTATAATCTGCAAATATCTGCTAAGGGAAATCTAACAAGCATCTCCAGCTATAGATTTAGCTTCCCAGGCACACAGTACTTTTAGACATCAAACAACCAAATATACCAAATTTCACATTCTTACTTAAGCTAAAGAAGTGAAGGAGAGTGAAGCCAAGGATCCTAACCTATTTTTAAATAGCCGATCTTAGAGCCATTATACAGTCTTTTTTCTTTATCTCTAGAATCGCTATAATGCTTATAAATCATTAAAATTAACACTAAAATAATTCTTCACTGTGTTTCTGCTATTGCACAGAGAACATATACTTAACAAGATTTCCTTGGGATTGGGTAATTGCCAAGGCTCTGAAACTTTTCATTCGAGAATATTTTTACTCTCTAGAGAGATACCATTTAAACTCTTATATATATGTACTATATATTACTATATATAGTACATATAAAATGTATATGTATATTGCATATATGTATAGGTATACATGCACATAACACACATATAAAATATGCATGTATTTATATACATGTATATACATATGTATGTAATATGCATATATATTCATACATATATACACATATATAATAAAGCTAACTTGGAAAGACAATGTTCAGAAAATAGTCTCTTTGAAATCCTGAAAGGCTGAGAAATCATGGAGTGTTTTTTCTTTATTTGTTATCAGTGGCTAAGTATGATTGAATTCACTGCCGGACACTGAAACAGATGCACCATCGCAATCTGTGTTCCCATCATGTAGATTGGCTTTGAGATTCCTGTGTCTTTTAGTCATTCCATATGTTTTCAGAAAGAGCAAAAGTGAAAAAGTCTAACGGAGATAGTATTATTTCTGGAAGTGAGGTAATGAGATCTTTTTCAAAATATGCCCATTCAGAGGACAAACCACTCATTCCACAACATAACAAGCAGAAACACAGTTACAGCTTCATCTGTTTTTTTTTTTTTAAAGATTTTATTTATTTGACAGAGGGAGACACAGCGAGAGAGCGAACACAAGCAGGGGGAGCAGGAGAGGAAGAAGCAGGCCTCCCGCAGAGCAGGGAGCCTGCTGTGGGGCTCGATCCCAGGACCCTGGGAATAATGATCCGAGCCGAAGGCAGACGCTTAACGACTGAGCCACACAGGTGCCCAAGCTTTATCCATTTTGATGGTAATTTGTTAATTATTCTATCGGTAGTTTGTTAATTAACTTAATTTTTTTAAATACCTGTTTCATCTTTGTCCCTTGTTTTAGATTTTAAACTAGAGGCCAGGGATTTATTAATTTAGTGGTTATTATTTAATAACCATGCTAAGCACCCATCAGGATTATATTATACCATTTGATGATGAGAGTGCTAATGCATGAATGAAGTAGGAACAATACAAAGTAATCTCATGAAAATCAGGAGTTAATGAGAATGAAGAATTAGGGGCCCTGGGTGGTGCAGTTGGTTGAGTGTCTGACTCTTGCTTTCGGCTCAGGTCTTGATCTCTGGGTTGTGAGATTGAACCCCAAATCGGGCTCCATGCTCAGCTCGGAGTCTGCTTAATATTCTCTCTCTCTGTCCCTCCTCCCTCAAATAAATAAATAAATCTTTAAAAAAAATGAAGAATTAG